TTGCGATCCCTTAAATATTAATGACGATCGATCCGCAGTGATCAGCTGTACTTCAGCCCTCGAGCTTCTTCGGTTATCGTGGTTTTCAACTTTTCGCTTGGATCGCTGCAATTTGGAAACCTGTTCATCCCTTGTTTCGCGCACGTTCTTTGGAAATCACTGTAGCGTCGATAAGTCTCGGAGAAACGCGAAAGAAATCCGACATTCGATGTTTTAAAGAAATTTTCAGGAAAATGTATAAACAGTTTCTGGTGTTTTCTACGAACAAATTCGAAAAGCTTGATGACAGTCGTTCTTTTTTGTTAAGTTAAAAAATTCCTCGAATTTCTACGCAGCCTTTAATTCTCGAAAGAAGAGTGAATATTTGAGAAAGCATTATTGCTATAAAAATTATCGTATTAAAAAATTTGTTTTAAAAATGAAACTCGTTGTCCCAACTAAACGTCTTATCCCCAAAAAGTATTAATATGTAATTTCTGATTTCAGTTTTACACGTTCTATCATTTATACACAATAAATGATTTTATTGTTCTACAATTTCACACGGAATATTAGAGGCCTGTTTATTTGTTGAAACGAGACATAATTGGAATGTAAAAATTCGAGGATCACAAGAGGGAAATAATATCAGTTCGTTTCGTTTGCTACATTCTCGTTAGCCTCGTCTCGACTATTATCGATCTATTAACTATTATCGATCTTCTGTTTCATTGTTTACGAGTTTGTTAAATGGACAAAATAAGTACTCCACGGCCTGTTTAGAATTCTGAAGTGTCTCTCGACACAACGAGCCTTATCGATACGCGCTCATGTCTCACAGACTCGAGGGAACTAAAGGGAATGCTCATCGAAGATAACTCTTTATCAAGGAGGAATATTCGTGCAATCTGTCGTGAAATTTTGAAATCGTTAGTGGAGCACCATTACACCGAGTACCATTCGTTTACATAATTCACCGTATCGAGAAATTCCTCGTTCGAAAGAGGCAGAAAAATAAATTGGAAGTGTAGCAATCTGCAAAAGTATTACCATCGCGGATTTTATTGTACGTGTTATATAAGGCTTTATTTCGAAATTTCATTAACAGTATAATGAAACACGATTACTATAGTTATACTGGTGAAAGTTGGAACTAATCCGAATCTGCGTGTAAAAAAAACTAGAAAGAAAAAAAGTTGGAATACTTTTCTAGTGTGAGTAGCCATTTTAAACATACATAGTTGAACAAGCTAAAGTGTTCTAACACTTGGTTAGAACTTTTTATCATGTACTTAATATATTGTGTGCATCGTATAAAAATACACTGACACTTCACTGTCACAATCATGTTAACCAGATTTGACATAAATTTATAATGTTAGTGTCTGAAATTTCAAAAATAAAACAGGAAATTAAAAATTCTTCCGTGTTGAAAATCTGAGTGGCAGTATTCTAAAAATCCTAGTGACCTAATTATAAGTTATAATTTTATTCCCTGCCCAAGGTGGATACGTTCTCACGATTTGAAGAAATCCAATGAACTTTTTCTATGTAGAATTTATGTCATTAAATATAGAACCTATCAAGAAAAACATAAATACAAAATACATTAAACATAGAATTAGAAAATGATCGATCTTTCAATTGACTATTTAAAGGCTTTTGCAATCTCTCCGAAGTGCACACACATTCGCATGAAGCGCTCAGTATATTTTCAGATTTGTTTCAAATTTAATATAATTATAATAATCTTGTGTCTTTGGAATATTAATAAATATATGTGTAATAAGATGGTATTTGTTTTAAGGTGAATGTAAAATACAGAGCACATGAAACACAGAACAGAAAAATAGCAGGAATCACGTCGTTCGATTCTCATTTCGTCCAATCCAGAGTTTTTGATTGCTGAAATGAAGAATATGTATTCCCTTCATTAAAAGCGTTTCTAAATTACGTAGAAATTATAGTTTTTTGCAAATCTAGTACATAATTATTCCTTGTGTGATAAATTTTAAGTATAGTAAATAACATCGTCTGTTTATTATCATTGCTTTCTTTATATCTCTATCTATCGGACAAACAATAAATAAATAAACAAAATATTCATCTCGCAACAAGATTTCAGTTTCGTTCGAGGCAGGTAAAATAATCTATTGGTAAGAATGTTTCCTACAAGCGTCTGAATACTTTCGTTAGCCATCGCTAGAGCAGACGAACAAACGAGTAGAAATAATCGCACAATGGGCGAACGAAGCGGAAGCTTGGCGACGCGACGGCAGGCGAAATTCGGCACACTCTCGATAATTAAAAATCGGGTATCGACCGGTGGGGATCGGATTTGTCGTCGGTTTTGCGCGAGTTACCCGTCGGCAAGCGCTTCCTCGTCGCGCGTAAAACTGCCAAGGGTTTCTTCGCGCGTGCCCGCCTCGTCGACGGTTTCAAATATTTGCGCGAAAATACTCGAGAAAGAAGATCGAAGAGCCGGCCCAGACGTTTATTCAATTAAACGATTATCCAAGCCTCGAAAAACCTGCGGACTGTTGACGTCAGCGTAGTTCACCGAATATACATGCGAAAACTTCTTTTGCGACGGAATCTCTGAGTCGTACGCTTTTCTGTTGCGCCATGATAAATAAAAGACAATAACGTGAAATTGAGATATTTTAGGGAACTACTGATAAGTATTAATTTTCTGTTTTGGCCAAATGGTTGATGATTTCAATATTTTGTTCTCGTTTCTTTTCGGAGAAGGATTATCATAATTGCAATAAGAAAGTTAATTAATTTTATATTTACATATATTTTATCTTACATTAATTATTGTACAATTTATCTGTTATGATTTTGTATATTG